TTATGTATCTTCTTCGTCTGCAAAAATCTGAAGGTTTTTTGTTTAGGATTCAATATGATTCAAGGACCTACATAATTAAATAACGTGTATCAAAATAATATTATTGTCTGTGCTCACCTTCATACAAAAACTTATAATTAATATGTATGAAGTACAAGTCAATATCATGTGTGTTGAGGACTGACACGTTAAATCAATGTTTGCAAAATAAAACATAATGAATTTATTTGCAACAATACTGATATCCCGATAGAATCTTTTAATACGGTTTCACGTTTAATTAATTAATTTTATGTTGTATGTAACACAACAGAGTTGAAAGATTATATGGTCAAGGTGACACTAAAGGGTAAAATAACAGCAATGAGGAAGAATTGTCCCGTTCAAAACTTTGTCATACTTCAAAAATAATGAAATATTTTTGCACGATTTTGTAGCATAATAGACCTTTCTATCTTAAACGAACTTCATAAACTTCGTTATACGGAATAAATTGGGGGATTTTCTCAAAACATAAAATTAATGATAAAAAGATCAATATAACTATAAATTATAACTATAATTTCTTCATTGTAGTGTTAATTTTTCAACAAATGACCAAGAAGCGATTTTTTCAAGGTATACAGGTAAGTATTGGTAAATGGTGTGAATGCAGGATTAACGTAAATGTTATCACTACTGTCACTGCTGACCCCAAGTTCATGTGTATAATATGTGGTTACGCGTCAGTGGGAATGGCACAAATTCCCGAGCGTCAGAATTATACAAACGTCGCCATTTGAATTTACAATAACTTGTGGAAGTGACAGTATCCAGAATAGAATTGTTCTTGTGGCTTATCCATTGGTCGAAATATTTCGTTTGCTATTCCATCCATTGCACCACCTGCGGGATACAGTTTATCCTAGCCGCCATGTTTACTATGCCACTGATCTATGGTTGACCAAGTGATAGAATTCGCAAATGTAGTGTTAAAAGTATTTGTTATTGTGTGATTTTCAACATGTTCCTACGTGGCACACACATTGAATAGGTGACAAGTGTTACAATACAACGTCGGTTCCATATCACAAACAATAAAATTGTGTTTACTGGAGACAGTTTGTGGCGACTATAATTATTTTCTAAGTTTATGATATGTAACATATCTGCTAATGTTTCTCATGTTTTATCATAAGGTTATAGAAATAGAAAATTTGGAAAAACTTTTCTTTCGGAATCTAGTACAGAGTCTAGAGGTGGCATCATTACAATAACATTACGTGCACGGTTGATATATTCTGAAGTATCTGGCGGGGATTGAACTAAAGCTGGAAGTTACTTAACACCGATAGGGCCATTTCAACTTCATAAATACCCGATTTCATCTTCATGAATTAACAGTTTAAACTTCGTGAATTCCAGTTTTCAACATACGGAATTCACGAATTCACGACTTCAACTTTACGAATACAATATTTCAACTTTATGAATTCACGATTTCAACTTCGTGAATTGCCGATTTCAACTTCATGAATTCACGATTTCATCTTCACGAATTCACGATTTCAATTTCACGAATTCACGAAGTTTCATAACATTTTGTGTGTCTGAATCATCACAATTTTCCACGTCCCAAAGAGATCTACTTAATAATTATATTTTAAGAAGCCTTCCTTTTTCAACTGCTAGGGGTCTCAACATGACTTTTATTTAAGCAACGTTTGCACTTGTATTTGTAAAGAATGACCTTAGTTAAGTAGGACCTTTACATAGAAGGCAGTGATAAATGCAAGCTAACAACCACACCATCAGGACAAGAGTATTAATATGTGCTACCGGCTAAAACAATCGGAACATATTATATGCATTATTGAAGGCCCGGTGGGCATCTGAGAATAATATATTTGGTGCAAAAATATTGATGTGGCCTAATTTTTGCTCCTATCAAATTATCGTTCTTTTTTTTTCAGTCGTACTGAATTTACAAGATACTATTTATAATATACCGACATTTCAAAAAGTTCACACAAAAGCTTTTTATTTCATTCATTTATCATTCATCAATTAATCTTTATACATCAAATTCAAAATAAGGTATACTTCTGTATTAAATATCCAATTGATAAAATATGTAATAAATGTTATCTTCTTATAAGAATTGAAAGTATCTTCCACAAGGCTGAGATGCGACTAAATTTTAACAACCAACTGTTGCATAGGTGTCTTTGCTCCCGTATCGTGCTTGAATTGATTTTCATGAATTGCAACTTCGACCTTTCACATGCCATTGAGTCTGTTGTGCGTTTCTACACTTCAACACTTTAATCATGTCAACCTTTACAGTGCATGTATTTAATCTTATTTACGATGAAAAGTGTTGACGATATACCGACGTATGATGTAAACAATACTTAAGCAAATTCTAATCGGCACTAAAACATTCGTGTAAGTGAATAATTTTGCGTTGAAAGATAAATATTAATATCATAGAGTTACTTTAAAGAAATAAAACAGAAAATGTTAATTGCAATCATAGAATTGTTATATCATATCACTGTACAGTACATGAAACTGAAACTACATTAACTTTGTTCATTGTGTACACATAAACACATGTCTTATGTCAAATGTAAATTACACAATTATTGTCGTTAATACGTTTTGAATGAGCAACAGTAAAATTTAAAATATAGATATTGTTCTAAATATTTATGATGTTTTTGTTTGAAATACATTTAACATTTTTTCTCACTCGACATAATAACATCAGAAACTTCAAATGTGAGAAGGGTTCTTTCTCAGTAAATTACAAATATGGAAATTTGCGGCGTTGTTTCTTTCTCTTTTTTGAAGAGAAAGCATATAACACTGAAACGCTTCCATTGGTTTGTTCTCCTGTTCCATACATTGACCAACAAGGTTTAGAGCTGTCTCCCTGTGACCAAGGTTTTTTCCATTCTCGGTAATATAAACAAGGTTACATAGTGCTCGATGTTGATCCTGGTGTCTTTGTAGATGTCCGTATACCTTGTACTGTAAAAAGTAGAGGAACGGGAGAGAATCTACCACTGCAAAGTCCATCCATCTTTTTTCCAGAACACATCTGTGTTGCATGTCATCTTGTGTAGATCTCATCATTTCATATTGTAACTCTCGAGGAACACAGTTGATCTCCGTTTGCAAGAATCTGACACAAAATGATGTGATCTGATTGATGCAATCTTCGTTTTGTTCGCAACATTTTCTCTTAAATTGTGCAGACAAATCAGACCGTGGATATTTCCAGCAACCACATACAGGTTCAACAATATCACCGTTGTACCGATTTTCTGTTTTTCTCAGAATGAACTCCGCTCTATCCATATCACCTACACTATACAACACCGACGCTAGTTTAAGTCTGCCGGATATGACATCCGAGCTTAAACCCAGTGAGAGCAACTTTAGTGCTTGATATTGAACTGCAGTATTCTGTTGAATATTTGATGACGCCATTATAGTTCCAAGTGTAGAATAAAGAAACGGGACTAGACAGCGGCTTGCAAGCTGTTCTAGTCTGGATCCATATACACAATAGCTTGCTAGCGTTAAGATACATTGTTTGAGATTGACTTGATATTTTGCCAAGAAAATTAAAATTAATAAATCAAGATCGCTAATAGTTCGTGCTAAGTTAAAAAATAACCAACCCGAAATGGATTCAGTTATGTCACGAGGAGTGAACATACCATGAGGTATTACACGAACTGTACCAATTTTGTCCTGTAGTCGATTACCAATATCATCAATAGTTATTCGAAGCAAACATCTACCATCACTCTTTATTGTGTCACTTATCTTTCGTAAAATGTCAAGCTTCTCTTCTGCATTAAATTCTCCGGCCATCAGGTTGTTTTCCGGAATTATAAAATGCGGGCAATTTTCATTTCGAATATAGCTTTGCAGTTCAAGCAAGCAATATGTTAAACAGGTGAAAAGATTGTTCTTTTTCCAAATGTTTCGGTCGGTGCTTTGTATACAGTGCAACACTACAGTTTTACACATATAACTAGACAAAGCACTAGGTGCTAGAAAAGTTTTCAAAATAATCTTCATCAAAACATAACAATGTAATTGTGTAATGTTTAGATTAAACATGAAGCATCTTTCTCCTAATGATGTCGATATTCTCCATTCTAGTTCCGGGTAAGTACTAATCTTACTGCTAGCACCAACAACTAAAGAACCATTACTTACAGCATATCTGATCATTTCAGTTGTTGGCCATCTCCCTATGCTGTGTCTGTCTAGTGAGTGTAAAACTGATTGTGGCAATGAATTACAATGAAACGCACACACAAAGTCAACTGCACTGTATCCTTCTTTCTCGGGCACAGCATTAGACGGACCGTGCATCTCAGCATCATCACGTATATTACTGTAACATGTATTTTTCAATAATATCCTCCCTTTATTATCTCTAATATAATGTTCATCAGGAATGATTGTCTCTGAGAAAGGCTCATCAGATCGTAGTAGTTGTAGGAAACAATATCCAGGTGTAACATCCTCATCCTGTATCGTGAAAAGATTGATCTTATTATGTTTCCACTCTGACCAGTCCTGTGTTACATTAAAATTATAATTCACAATCATAACGTCAGTATCTGATTTGAGTCCATTAGTAGTTGTGCCTTCAGATTGACTCCCAAAATTATATGTAGTGCTGTTATCACATAATGACCTCCATGTCACAGTTTGAATATTCTCTCTCAGCATAAAATTTTTTCTTCTTCTCATCACCATTGTTTCATTGACACCAACATCCTCTAATACCTCTGATAAATTCAGCGACAATGTGCTACTATATTCAGGCGATTGAAACATTCTGCAACGATAATAAAAATACAAAATTGGAGAAATTAGAGAGATAACACTCCATTAGATATTGTTGTGTCAATTAAAAATATAACTAGATTTGTTGTTGTTGTTTAAATGCGTGAAACTAGATTTATATTTTGTTTCATTGAAATATTAAAATGTAAAATACATAAATATATGTTCTTTTATAAAAATAAACAACACTAGGATTGTATTTTGGATTATTAAGATATTTAACAAGAATGACATGCGTAACAACATCAAACTGGTTAAGAATAAAATCGCATGTTCAGAATTTTAAACAATGTTTTTATAAATTTATAAAAGTAATGATTTTCGTTTTGAAATAAAAGACTTCTTCCTCGGGTATCTTTTATTTGAAAATGAACTTGTTTTATAACTATGAAGCGTGCTTATAAAAGGCATCTGATTGTGCCGTAGTACGGTTAGCGCCTTGTTACTATTTAAAACTGACACGAGCCAATACCTAGCGATGAATACGCTTAACACTTTAGAGGAAGAATATAGCAGAAAGAATATTGAAGTAAAGAGCACTCCAACAAAACAGAATTATTTGTAACAAAATAAATTTCAATTTCATATTTGACCTTGACGGTGAATGTCGTTTAAATGTCAAGGTCACATATGGTTTCATTATCATATCTGTTTTGCAATAAGTGCTCTTTTGTCCAAGAATGAATCAAATATATAAAAAATAACAAAGTAATGACAATGTAAGCGAAATTAAATATGTCGGCTTTATCGTGCGTTCTTTTGTATAAGTATGGATCAAAGTGTAAATAAATGACAATTTAAGCAATTTTCAATAATTTGACCTTGACGGTAACGGTCAAATAAAGGACAAGGTCAGAACTTTTAACATGTTAATTTGTCATATGTTGGTTTTGTCATATGTGTTCTTTAGTCCATGTATGAATCAAATTTGTAAGTTAAGACAATTAAAGCAAATTTCATTAATTTGATCTTAACGGTCAAGGTCAATTAAAGACCAAGTCTTATCAGAAAAATATGTAACATTTCGGTGTTGTTGTTTTTATGCCACCGCAGCATCTGCGATGCGGTGGCATATAGCGATTCACCTGTGTGTGTGTGTGTTTGTTTGTTTGTTTGTGTGTGTGTGTGTGTTATATAGATTATATAGTGAACTTAAAAAAAATCTTCTTGTGAAAAACCACTAGTCCAATTTCAACCAAACTTGGCAGGATTGATCCTTGGGTGAAGGGCTTCCAAAGTTGTTCAAAGAATTTAATTCCATGCAGAAATCTGGTTGCCATGGCAACCAAAAGGAATTATAAGAATAAATTTAAAAAATCTTCTTGTAAAGACCCAAAAGGCCTAGAGCTTAGATATTTTGCATAAGGCATTGTCTGGTAGACCTCTACCAATATTGTTCAAATTATAGCCCTGGGGTCAAAATTGGCCCCGCCCCAGGGGTCATTGATTTTCACTATATGTACATATAGTAAAAACTTAAAATACCTTTTTGTAAAGCCCCATAGGCCTAGAGCTTAGATATTTTGCATAAGGCATTGTCTGGTAGACCTCTACCAATATTGTTCAAATTATAGCCCTGGGGTCAAAATCAGCCCTGCCCCGGGGGTCATGGATTTTCACTATATGTACATATAGTAAAAATTTAAAATACCTTCTTGTAAAGACCCAAAAGGCCTAGAGCTTAGATATTTTGCATAAGGCATTGTCTGATAGACCTCTACCCAGATTGTTCAAATTTTAGCCCTGGGGTCAAAATCGGCCTGGCCCCGGGGGTCATTGATTTTCCTCATATTTACATAGTAAAAACTTATAGTAAAAACTTTAAACAAATTTCTTCTAGCAATTGACAAATGCTAGAGGTTAGATACTTTGCATGAAACATTGTGAAGTGAACCTCTAGCAAGAATGTTCAAATAATAGCCCTGGGGGTCAAAATTGCCCCCGCCCCGGGGTCATTGATTTTCAATATATACATATAGTAAAAAATTAAAAAAATCTTATTGTCTGAAGGTACAAGGCTTAGAGCTTTAATATTTGTTAAATGATATCATCTATAGGTACTCTACCAAAGTTGTTCAAATTTTGCCTCTAGTGTCAAAATTAAAAGTGAACTTTGATATCAGCTGACCTAGATTTTGACAAAGTGTATTACATGTTGTCCTTTGATGCAGTCATGAAATTTTAGGCTGTGTGAAATATGACCTTCACCACCAAATTCACTAGACTCAAGTGCATTGATATAGTCCTACTCTGATCTTTTATTGAGTTAACAATAGATTTAACCACTAATCTGATAATAAGAATTAGATATGCATTATGACAATCTTCAATTGTATAGAAACAAAAAAAATCTGTTCCTACACTACTATTTAGTGTTGTATTAATGCGGTGGCATAGCATTTTTCTCAAATGCAATCTTGTTTTTTGTTTGTTTTTTTTTTTATTCATGTGTTCTTTTTTCAATTCGACCTATTCAATGTTGTAAATCCTTACTTAGTCTAATAAAAACAAACTAATTTAGTTTAATTTAACATTAAACATTTTTAAACGTTCTCAGCTAAATTTTCGTCAGCAACAGGTAGATTAGGCGGAGTCAAATGCAAATATCAGTACCATATTTGGAAATAATTACGTCAAATCTCCTTTTTCAATTCCTTTTAGATTAAATTAAAAAAATAAATCATATTTTAGTCACATTTACGTACATTTTCTCATGGTCAATCAGTCATAAAAATCATTATCATTATTTAAAGTAAAATATGAAACAATTAATGCATATAATAATTAAGTGTCACATGTAAGCATTTATATTCATGAACATATCTTACTTTTGAACTTTTCTTATATAGCGTCGAAGTCAAAACAAAAAGTAAAAATTCCTATTTGTTATTTGTACTTCCTCTTTCGTTTTGTATACCAAGGAAACATTACTCTTTATGTAATAATTGACTAGTTTATTACCAATTATGTCCCTTGAATTTAGCCGATGTTTCACTTTAATTACATTTGTAATTGTTTATTTGTTTATTTTATTTTTTTATTATTTTTTATTAATATTCATTTATTTTTGATGATATGAAAAGAGTGTTAAGTAGATAGATGTGATTTTCCGGTACACGACAAGATGAGTTTTCTGCAATGACTAACTAATGCGTGCCATGCGTGCCAGATGACAAAGTTATCAGCATCTGTATAAAATTGGAAACATCTGAGTCATCATTAAGTTTATCAGAAATACAGGTGACATTAAAAATACCTGAATCATTTATTGTTCCGTAAATAAACCTCGCAAGGTATTACACAATTAAAGCTATAAATAACACTAAAAGCTATGATATTATAAAAAAATATGAATTTTAAAACTTTCTTTGTGATTTTTTTATTTTTAAAATACAAATGTAAATGATTTTCAATGGTGCTTGTAACGTTGTGTTTAAAAGTCATAATAATGCTGTAAAGCGTCGTCGTCAAAACAAAAACATAAAAATTCCTATATATGGTGGCTGATTTGTGCCACTGGAGTTTTCGCCCTAGCGAAAAGTCGAGAATTTACAGGGTCGCGGAGCGAAAAGTCGCTAATTAACGGGGGCGCGGGGCGAAGTTTTAAAAATAAAACTTCGCCCCGCAGGGCGCGGAGCAAGAATTAACAAGTAAAAATTCTGCAATGTCAATTTCATGAATTACCAAATCCAATTTTTCCATTTGCGCGAATTCAGTAACTTCATTTGTTCACAATTTCAACGTCATATATTTATACAAATTCAATTCCATAAATTTAACGTTACATTCACTTAACGAATTCACATTTTGATTATGCCATTTCGATCAACTTCCAATGCTTGATCTTAAACGTCTAGTATAATATTTTACTTCAATAGGCATTAGTTTCTTTTTGGAATTCATGACAAAATTCACATATTTTTGCTTTTGTTTCTTAAAACTGAATCGTTTATTTTATGAAGTTAAAATCTAGAATTAATGAGGGAAACCGTAAATACCTAAAATGAAATTCTGATAACGTGAGGTTGAAATTGTAAACCATAGGCCTAAAATAAAAGCTGAGAATTCATATAAATGTAGGAAAAATGTAACCATTTATCGTTGTTAAGTTCTTTTATTCGGAATATTTATGAAAATAACTTACATTGAAACTATTCCTGTAGTATGATTTTATAGTTTGTTTTCCTTTTAAACAAAATTATTGCGCAAGCGTCGTTGTCAAAACAAAAATCAACATTCCTTTTTACTATTTGTACTTCCTCTTTCGATTTGTATACATAAGAAACATAACTCTTTACACCATAATTCGACACTTGGCTTGATATTAAGTCCCTTGAACAAGCCGATGTTTGTTTTAATAATAACAATACTTATTTACTTATTATTTTCTTTTTGATTTTTTTTTCTTTTTGAAATATTCTGTATATTTAATTTTGTATCAGCATCGGCATTGAATTGTAAACATCTGAGTCATCAATAAGGAAACAAGGGTAAAATAAAAAAAAAAAATTGAAACAGTTACTGCTCTGTTTATAATCTTTGCAATGTGTACCATATTTAAAGTAATAAATACAATTAATAGCCATGCTTTTGTGAAAATCGGATTTTTAATACTTTCTCTCTTTTATTTACTTATGTAATTGTCTTTATCCTATCTATACAATGTATGTCTTTGATAAAATGTCTTTTGACCCCTGCATTTTTTGTGCCCCCACGTTAGTGGCGGGCATTTAGATTTACCCTTGTCCGTCCGTCCGTCCTTCTGTCCGTCCTACCCCCGTCCGTCCGTTCACTTTTGTGTCGCACGTAACTCAAAAAGTATTTGACCTAGAGTCATGAAACTTTACAGGAATGTTGATCAGCATGTGTAGTTGTGCACCTGGGTATTTTCGTCTGGATATTTTTAGTATTTTCAGAGTTATTGCCCTTGACTTAGTAAAATTTTGCCAATTTTTCAACTTGTGTCGCATGTAACTCAAAAAGTATTTGAC